TTAGCAGGAAATCCGTCAGACGAACGCCAGTCCATTCAGCCGCTGAAATAGCCGAGTGCTGCCAAGGAAGGCCGAGAATTGAGAACTGTGAATATTGCCCACCAGGGGAAAATAAACGATTAGGCATGGACTTTTCTTTTTTGAAAGAGTTCTGCATGTCGATTCGGCGATTTCCGGCACACTGGATCGTGGTTCGAACTGAAACTGGCTTGTAAAGGCACTTCAGATCATCAATTGAAAGAAAAACCTCGACGATTTTTTTATCTACGATAGGTGTATCCTTATAAACTGATTTCCAGAGCATTTTTTTAAACTTAGATGTAGAAATTGTGAATGGAATATGCAGCTGCAATTTATGATGGCTACGAAAATAAAAAAATAAAACGAAACAACTGATGAATAGAAAGAATAAAAAAGGAATAACCAGGAGTGGCTTATTATATGCATACTTCTGTGATTTTATCCCTTAACCAAGTTTTACTGATTATATCGATGCCTACTTTATCTTAATATATGTAGTCTAGTTAAGTTAAATGGTAAAATACGATTCTGCTTTCTTTTCCTTAGGCATTCTTGCCAGCATGGCTGTGTTATTATGTACAAAATATGCGCTGCATTAGCTGCGTTTGTTTCCCCTTTGGAGGCTATCTTTTTGGGAACAAAGCAAAGTTATATACAATGGTCCTGTAAGTATATTCTTTTCATCGTGCGAACATCTATCTATCTTTTTCTTATCACCCTATGCAACCCAGGGTCTATATCTAAAGGCCTTCAAAATCGACTATATTTCTTGAAAGGATATCTAATTTCTCATACCGGCTTTAAATTCACAGGAGTTCAGTTAATCCATTCAGGAAACATAAAGTTTTTAAATAATAAATTCTTATTCTTATTTTTTCCCCCTTGTAAGCAAACTGGATTCACTATATGCCTATACTTACATTATAAGAACCTTTTTATTGCAAATCTCTAAAATTATATCATATTAAAGGATTCAAATAGTGCGATTATAGCAAACACAAATTATAAGGGCAAAATGTACGTTTAGACACTCCTCAAGACTGCAGCCACATTCACCACATCTATTTTCATATTTCGATGCATTTTTTCCCGCACTGACCATTGCTCTTATAGCTAGGATTACTTTTTACTTTCACAACGAATTACTTGCTACACCTGGCT